CAGCTGGAATATTACTGAGTGCGGCGCAAAACACAAATTACTCACTCACTCAAACGCTAAGTATTATGTTGGTTGGTTTGTTTGTTCTTTAACGCCACACTCTGCAATATCCATCCATCCATCCATCCATCCATCCATCCATCCAACCATACGTATACGTACATACGTACATACATAAGTATACATACACATCCATCCATACATGTACGTACATGCGGATGGATGGTTGGGTGTGTGCGTATGGATGGATGGATGGAAGGATGAATGGATGAATGGATGACATTCGTGACTGATATCATCACCAGTAAGCCACGCATGACCTAGTCGCATTAACCTGTCCTACACATTTGCTACTTGACAAACAGGTGGTAGAGGAACCCAACACTGACCTGTAACTGGCCACATGTCTCGCCAAGAGGAATCATTCGCTACCCCAGATGTAGTCTCGAAGCCTAGACGTCACATCAGTGACACTGAATCGTTATATCTGTAAATGAGAGTGAGTGAGTGAGTGAGTGAGTTTGGTTTTACGCCGCTGTTAGCAATATTCCAGCAATATCACGGCGGGGGACACCAGAAATGAGCTTCAAACAATGTACCCATGTGGGGATTCGAACCCGGGTCTTCGGCGTAACGAGCGAACGCTTTAACCACTAGGCTACCCCACCGCCCATCTGTAAATGAGGTACTGACAAGAGAGAATTATGTATCTAGCGTATCTGCAATGTACAACGGCTCGATCCACTCTCTTCTCTCTCAGTTTTATTCCTCAAAACAAAAGATTTGAAACATCAACTTATATACCAAATCATTCACCAAGAAGTGCGTAACTTCAACTGATGTACCAAATCACCCTCCAAAACGACCATGTTTCACAGTTTACTCATCGGTCGTGACAGCAGTACATATTCCAAATCACTTTCAAAGACCATATCTGACAGCTAACAGCTCTACTAATCATCCTCAAAGACCATTTAACACCTACCGTATTTAGTTAAATATCAACTCTAACACCATATCTACCTTTTTCAGAACAACCAGCAAGCCCTGTCAACGATTTTAATTTCAGACCTGAGGACTTATGATATGTCTAGACTTTTCGGAAACAAATTTTAATAATGTTTCTTTTTTTCCAAAAGTTGGCTTCAAGAATCTATGTAACAAATAATGTTTCTACCAAAACATCATCCGATATACAAACCCTCTCCATGTTTAACATCAACAGTTATACAAAACGTCATCGCCTAGAGGAATGTTATCCCGTCATGCAACAGATTTACAATCAACATGTCGTCCACGTGTCATGGAAGGACCGGTACCCTTGTTCCTACTGGACATCAGCTGCCTGTGTATGTAAATAGTTCAAGGTTAGAGTGAGCTACAGTACCTCCCCACCACCCCCACACGCTGCCCCGCACCGGGTCAACCTAGTGTCCCACATATGCACACCAATATTGTGAAACTATTGACAGATCTTATGACGTCAGGGGTCAACTGAGGAGGTACTACTATTCGGGGAAAATATTTGCACACTCGCTTTACTTGGAAGCCCGGATGAACACCAGCGTTGAAACGGTGTCCGGTTTCAGGGGATTGTCACGCATAGGCGGGACGGGAGTAAGTGAATGAGTATGGTTTTAAGCCGCTTTTTTCGGCGTGACGACCCGTGAAGATCCGGGTTATAATTGATCTTCAGCAACTCATGCTTGTCGTAAGAGGCGTCTAACGGGATCGGGTGGATGACTTGGATGACACATGTCATCTTATTCCAAATTCGTAGACCGATGCTAATGATGTTGATCACTGGATTGTCTTTTATCAGATTCGATTATTTACAGACCGCCGCTATATAGCTGGAATATTGCGGAGTGCGGTGTATAACTAAACTCACTCACTCACTTCGGCGTGACGAGCGAGCGCTTTATCCACAAGGCTATCCCACCGCCCCATTTGTTGACGGCACACACAGATAGACAGACTACCCTTACTAACGATGATTGTCATCATCATCATCATCATCAAAGTATTGTTTACTTCTTATTACGGCGAGGAACGACACTGTCGTGAACACGGTTTAACCGCAAGTGTCTTTCCGAAAATATTCAGAAGCGTTTTCCCATTCAAGCTTTCAGAAATATCCAGAAGCGTTATACCTGTCAATCTTTTCAAAATATTCACAAGCATTTTCCCTTACAATCTTTCACAAACATTCACAAGCATTTTCACTTTCACAAATTTTCCTTACAGCATTTTCACTTCACAAAGTATTCACAAGCATTTTCCCTTACAATCTTTCAAAATATTCACAAGCATTTTCCCTTACAATCTTTCAAAATATTCACAAGCATTTTCCCTTACAATCTTTCAAAATATTCACAAGCATTTTCCCTTACAATCTTTCAAAATATTCACAAGCATTTTCCCTTACAATCTTTCAAAATATTCACAAGCATATTCCCATCTTTCAAAGCATTTTCCTTACAATCTTTCAAAATCGCAAGCATTTTCCCTTACAATCTTTCAAAATATTCACAAGCATTTTCCCTTACAATCTTTCAAAGTATTTGCAAGCATTTTCCCTTACAATCTATCAAAATATTCACAAGCATTTTCCCTTACAATCTTTCAAAGTATTCACAAGCATTTTCCCTTACAATCTTTCAAAATATTCACAAGCATTTTCCCTTACAATCGTTCAAAGTATTCGCAAGCATTTTCCCTAACAATCTTTCAAAATATTCACAAGCATTTTCCCTTACTGTCTTTCAAAATATTCACATCCCTTTCCCTGTATTCCAGAATATTCAGTAACGTACTCAGCAGTGTATTCACAATATCAAGAACGACTTTATCTTTTCAGCCGTCACAAGAAACAACTGGAAGTCTGAAAGATAACTGCTGATAACCAACTGGTAAACATCTTATGGTTTCACCGCGTCACTATGCGATTAGCTAAATAGTCGATAGTATTAAAGCAAACAGCACTTTCACCGTGATAATTGTCACCGGAAAATTACACAGTGTGAACAGCAGGTGTGTTTCTTATCAACGGTGTCCGCGTTCTCAGCAAGTTGATCTCCGTGAAGGTTTTAATCTTACAAAAGCGACACGTTTCGTGACGTCACGCATTCCGGGAGCGGTTGTGGCCAATCAGCGTTCAGAGACGGCCCACGTGCCTTTGAGTTGCCTCTACGTCGCCCGCTCAGTAGTTGCGGCTTGTGGAAATATGCAGATACGTACAGTGGGACATTGTGTCAATACTATAGCCGCGTGGTTTACCTGGGCTTAGGTCAAGCTGTGCCGCCCACAGCGGCCTTATTCAGACACCTGGAGTGTTTGGTTTACGTCAATGGGCTGCGTTTGAGCCATGCTCTCCGTTCTTCTGTTTACAATTGTTGCTTGCTTGTGTTCAAGGCCCAAGTCTGCTTTTTTGTTCTTTTAAACCAGTATCAGACATATTCCAGTCATACCAGGACGGAATGGAAAATAAGATTGGACAGGACACCCCGTTGCTTGATTGTATGATCTCCACGTGATGCGCGAGGATGTATTTTTTCACGCAACTTTGAACGAGTGAGTGAGTGAGTGAGTTTTTCGCGGCTCCAAACAGTACTTCAGCTATATCGAGCAGCTTCAGCTGTATGTGAAAGTAAGGTACGACGTGACGGGTGTAAGACTCACTTTGTCAAAGAACCTGACCATCCGATCCCCATTCTGCTCAAAAACAAACATGAGGCACTAGGAACTATCCTGGCCTGGGGACGTAGAACGAGTATAAGTAAACAAGCTGATAAGAATGAGCAGGGAGAATATTTCACTGCTATATAATGTGATGTTCTGTTAGTTTATTTTTGTTTTCTGATTCGTAATAACAAAGTGACAACTTTTTGACTCGAGTGAGTGAGTGAGTTAGGGGTTGACGCCACTTTGGCAGTATCCCAATGAAAACCTGAAGTCACGTCGGTGACGTTTACAGTTTAGTGGGGATAGTGCTGTCAAATTAACCCGGAAACATAATCGAGACGAATCGGGATTCGAACCCCAAATCATAAGTTTCTGGTGCATTCGTTTACTCGAGTTCATTTTTACATAGCTTTTAACATTATGCTCAAGGTCGGAAAATACGATACGTTTCAACTGTCCCAGGACTTCAGACACACGAAAGTAGTATTGAGTATAAGAAGCCGCAGCCATAGGCGCTGGAAGCTTGTAGGTAGAATTCTGTCCCTTTGTTGCCAGGATCCGCTGGTGTGGGGTCAAATTCAAGAACCGTTCCCATCATTGTCCTTCACCAAAGAGTAACACATCTACGTGCGACCGGTTTCTTTACACACACAATATGCTGTTACACTAAGACACAACTGAAACATTGTTAGAAGAGGTGATTAATAGTTAATCAATAAGTATTTTTTGTTCTTTGTGTCAGGGATTCGAGTTCAATTCCCAATTCGTAATTTTGCATTTTCTTTTTCTTTTTTTGTTTTGTTAATACAGTTCATACTTATAGATTATCAAATGGGTTGGTGGTAACGTCGTAGAGTGTTCGTCCATCCCGCTGATGACCTGGGTTCAAATCCCAACTAGCGTACAACTGTTGTGTGCAAGGATTCTTGGTGTCAGTTGGCACGACATGGTTATATTAGAGCTGGAAGGTCTAAAATATCCGAAACTCAAGAATTCGTCATTTTACTTTTAAACACCTCTGCCAATTCAAACTAAATGTCCAAGTATAAAGAGAATCATACGGAGAACGGCCATGTAAGACGTATTAAATCGGTCAGTTTATGTAGTTCATATGCACGTTGAAATGGACATATTTAAAGGTGAGCGAAGCCAGCACCAGTAAACATCAGTCCAAAAATTTGGCGCAAATATTTACATTATGAACTCAACAACACCAACAGGGAATTTGTTTATCAACGACATTTGACAACAATCGCCCAAACGCACCTGTTGATATTTACCTGGTTATCCAGCGCTATGCAAAACACGACCCGGAAGTTGCGTCGAGCGATACCAGCCACAGCGCCGCGCGATATAAACACAACACCGCAGTTCCCTCGCCACATCCTATCTGCAACAGCTTCTGACGCTGGCATGATCACTGTTGTCGAGTCATTCACCAACAAAACACAAACGTGGAATATCAAATTCGTTTGTACCAAAGAAAAGAATTTGTGAAAGATGAAAAGCCGAGTGAATTGGAAGAACGTTCTGTTGGCGCTGACCAAACGGGGTAAAGTGGACATGGCGGGTATTGTCAGTTTGGAAGGACAGACATTGGCATGTACGGGAAACTGGGACATAAAACCTTCGGAGATTCTTGGAATCACTGTGACAATTGGAAGTCCTTACCCCGCTATGACGAAAATCAAGTTCTTTAACACTCTTTTCACGTGTTTCCACCACAATGAATCTGGAACTATTATTGGTAGGTCGGAACATTTGATGCTTGTGGCGCACCAGACTAAGTCGTGTGTTTTAATTGGACTGAAAGACTCGGATGCTCCTGGGTCATGTATATATGAGATAACGGAACTTGGAAAACAGATTGATCTGAGAGGATTTTGATCCTGTGGAATAACCTTGTTCCAAGTCACTGCAGGTGAGAGCATGTGTCTTTTACAGTATTACGAAAGGTATGGCTGTGAATATCCGTTGAAAGCGGAGAGGATACAGTATTATGCAATGGGGACTGTTATATTGATTTACTTTTTCACCAGAGTAGATGCAGCAAGATCCATGGACTTGCAACAAAATCTGTGGAATTGCCTTAACGGTTGACATGGATTATCAGAAATCATTGAAGATACCGATAACAATGATGATGATTTAAACGCACAAATTTCTACACCACGGAGAGACATGGCACCACGGAGAGACATGGAGAGACAGCTCGAACGACATGGCAATATTACCCCACTACGGACCAGAGTGCATTCCCGTTGCATTCTCAACTTCCTGGGAAGAATCCATTTATATACGTGAACTTGGTTCTATTTGATCGTATCAATAGATACAGAAATCCGTCCGAGGAGACAAAGTGGACTTGTGGAGCGAGTTTGTATATTTAAGGTACTTTTACAGGTGATATTAACACCTTAAATTTATGACGTTTACACATCTGAAGGTATTCTTAATGATCTACTAGACACTCTTCACGCCGACTTGTAAAGTGCTGAGCGCCAAAGGAGTAGTGTTTTCAACGAGACACAAACAATGTGATGAGACTTATTCAATTTTAACCTATACATCTTAACTATATCGTGTTTTCTATATTACTATCTGTTGTTAACATCTAGTGTTTTGTCGTTAGCTATGCAAGATTTGCTTTGATCGTGAACCACATTCACGTTTCACAGGCAAAGTCTTAACATTTTGTAAGCTGATATTTTTTAGAATAAAACACTGAAATATTTCCCACTTTCTTTTATCTCCTACGACGGGGCTTAAGTCTGCCTGGGAACGGTGGAGCTCCCATTGTTTCCCATGTAATCCCTGCTAGTACGGCGTTTCTTGTAACGTACAGCCTTGGCGGCGGAAACAGAGAAAGGCCCGAATCAATGCGAGCCGTGACCGCTTCAATTAGCGTCGGACTTAATGTAATCTTCAAACATATACTTATGTACCGAAGGACCCTTTTTTTGGAAGGACAGCAGTTCCGGTCTGTATGGAAACAAGCTTATTGTTATTTTGATTATTGTTGTGTGACATTTCTGTTTATGAAGGTATTGAGTCGGAACCAAAACGGAAATGCAACGCTACAAATAGGATCATATGAGAAAGTATGAATTTACTGACGTTGTAAAAGTCGGTGAGAATGCGTTGTACAAGCTTCTACGCATATTTGATGTTATAAAAGTACTTTAAGGCTCTCAAAGCTTGGTGTCATTTGTAAATACACGTTTATAGTATAACTTGTCGGGCAAAATATATTATATACTTGTAAAGAGGATTTGACCAAAACGTAACTAGAATATAAAAGTTACGAAAATACAAAATAACACTGCAAACATAAGGTTCAAAACAAGTATAACACACCTATCAAATACACCACCATTTAGCGAGCGTTTTGTTTCACCCAAGTGACTGAGTTTGTAGTCTCTATATTTGTGTGTACTGACAAGAATATACTAGTATTTTGTATATTGAGTCACCGTATATTTAAGTGTGTAGAGGTTTCTGTCCTCCAAAGTTCTGTATCTAAGAATAGTGATTTCTTGAACTCATCGTAAAAAGTTCATTAAAAAATGAAATGGAATGGATTTTCGCATGAAGGTGCAACGTTTACAGGCAATAACATTCGCTATGTTAACCCGAAATAGGTCGCTGTTTAGTGTGCTGCAATAATAAATTATTGTATCTCAGTCTAACGTACAATATGTGTGTGCACATCTTACTGTAATTACAATACATCGGTGGTGTGGTTTTAACTTACTTTACACACACACTACTTCATCAGTATCACGGCTTCTATCAGACGTGTTTATACTTTCCTTTGCCTTAGCTTTGTCCTTTAAAATGTTTGTAAAATGCGCAAGATCTGATTATCACATACTCTCTTTGCGATTTGATGTCACATGATACGAAACGTAAATTTATAATGTGAGGAGTGAATCAAAAGGCCAGTGTTAGCAATATTCCACCTATTCAACCCACCTCGTGTATAACTAAAGTATGTAATTATTGGGAATTGGACAAGATAACCAGTGGCTGGGAGAATTAACAACGATGTACATCCACTCTTAACTAAGTCGACCGCCTCAGTGGTGTAGTGGTTAGAGCGTCCGCCCAGAGTGCGGAAGGACGCGGGTTTGATCCCTGGCCGCGTCATACCAAAAGACGTTAAGATATGGTACTTGTTGGTTCCTGCCTGGCGCTCGGCATAAATGGGTACAACAAAAACTGGTCGGCTCGGAGTCAGTATAATGTGTCTGAGTGGGGTACTCATGCTTCACTGCGGCATGGTATCTCAGTGGGCTAGCACTATAAAACCAGCTTCAGTCTGGGCTAGTACAAGCAGCCGCACATACACATACACACGCATGCACGTCGTCATATGAGCGAAATATTCTCAAGCACGACGTTAAACCCAATTTCACCTCACCTCACCTCACCTCACCTCACCTCACCTCACCTCACTTTAAACCCAATTTCACTTCACTTTACTTTAACCAAGTCACTGAGGCTGATTAAACTACATAAATAAACCATTTTCTTCTGAAATCTTTGAACAAATTACAAATATCATATCAAATGCGAAACAGTAAAACACAAAAAAGTGAAAACAAAGGGTTCTCATGGGTTTCACCTGAGTGCTTAACGTCTAAGACTTCTATCTCAGTGGGATTTACCCACACATCAAGTTAACACGATTTGGGTGTAATGAAATACTGTTCAAAGCTTCGGCAAACTAAATTCGCGGACTGTATGAATCTTCTCTAAATTGGATGGATTAAATCCTTTTTGAAACCAGTTCACTGACCTGATCCAGATGGTACCTCGTAAGGTCGTCACCTTTCAGTATTTCATTGATAAAATCCAGGCAACCGATTATACTAGTATAATTTTAACTGTTGGGATCCCCTGATAATGTATATTCCATAACACGAGCAGATAGAATAGCCCAGGAACTGAAATAGCCCATCCCTAAGTACACATGACATGATAAGGGATGTCACTTTATTTTAGCTGGGGACGGTAAGGAGCAGGCTTCATGAATCCGACACGTTGCTTGTCATCGCCAGTTGTCTTCGTGTGGGATTTTTGTTGTACATAACACAACAATGTTGTTAAGACAACAAAACACATTTATCTACGAACAGTTGCCAATGCAATATTCATCTATATTTTCAGCTTATTTTTTACGCAACCTTGTCCACATAACAGTCTTCGTGTAATCTAACAACCCAATATTCAAATATACCTGTCAACATAACTGTCTTCATGTAATCTAACAACACAATATTCACGTATACTTGTCAACACAACAGTCTTCATGTAATCTAACAACACAACATTCACATATACTTGTCAACCCAACATTGTCCACGTAACCTAACAACACAATTTTCACGTATACTTGTCAACACAACAGTCTTCATGTTACCTAACAACACAATATTCACGTATACTAGTACTTGTCAACATAACAGTCTTCATGTAACCTAACAACACAATATTCACGTATACTTGTCAACACAAGTCTTCATGTAACCTAACAACACAATATTCACGTATACTTGTCAACACAACAGTCTTCACGTAACCTAACAACACAATATTCACGTATACTTGTCAACACAACAGTCTTCATGTAACCTAACAACACAATTTTCACGTATACTTGTCAACATAACAGTCTTCATGTAACCTAACAACACAATATTCACGTATACTTGTCAACACAACAGTCTTCATGTAACCTAACAACACAATATTCACGTATACTTGTCAACACAACAGTCTTCATGTACTCTCACAACACAAATTTTCAGTATACTTGTCAACATAACAGTCTTCATGTAACCTAACAACACAATATTCACGTATACTTGTCAACACAACAGTCTTCATGTAACCTAACAACACAATATTCACGTATACTTGTCAACACAACAGTCTTCATGTAACCTAACAACACAATATTCACGTATACTTGTCAACACAACAGTCTTCATGTAATCTCACAACACAATTTTCACGTATACTTGTCAACATAACAGTCTTCATGTAACCTAACAACACAATATTCACGTATACTTGTCAACACAACAGTCTTCATGTAACCTAACAACACAATATTCACGTATACTTGTCAACACAACAGTCTTCATGTAACCTAACAACACAATATTCACGTATACTTGTCAACACAACAGTCTTCATGTACACCAAACCGCACAATATTCACGTATGTTTGTCAACACAAGTATACAGGTATATATACATATTTAGATAGTCAGTTAATTTTGACGCTAGACTTATTTAAGCTCTTTTAATTCATGAAGTTATACCATTGATTGTTAACTTAATCTATTATCAAAGCTAACTATAAAAATTCACTGTTTAAATATCACCTACTTACATGTGTTAAAGCAGCACGCGTGTAGATTAAGGCTGAGTGTTTACATATGGAAAGATTCATGTCCTTTTACTTCACTGCCCATTCCATGTTGCTTATGCGACATCATTGTTTACCATTTGTAGGATACGACATTATCTTGTGACCAAGTACTGACCATCATGGTGCTGCCAGCTCATTGCCACAGTGCTAAGTACTGACTGACTGACTGAGTTTGGTTTTACGCCGCTTTTAGCAATATTCCAGCAACATCACGGCGGGGGAACACCAGAAATAGGCTTCACACATTGTACCCATGTGGGGATTCGAACCCGGGACTTCGGCGTGACGAGCCAACGCATTAACCACTAGGCTACCCCACCGCCCCCAGTGCTAAGTAAGGTGTATATGCTGCTTATACCTTATATCATGACAATTTGTTGAGGCAGTAATGTTTCGGCCTCCTAGCATATACTGCAATTTGAACCATTTAATCTTTTGAGCATAACTTAATCTACTGGCCCATTTATATAACATTACGTATAATGTCACAGATACTAGATAAATACAGATACTATATGAAATGTTTTTTTTAATTATTCTGTCAGATATTTGAAAGCATTTTATACATTACTTGCTTGGCTGTAACTGAGGAGTACATTTTGTTAACATCCAACAAAGAGAAGTAGCTGTCTGCTGACACCAAGCTTGTTTTGTGTTTCCCCCAAACCAGAGCCTCGTCCGCTAATATATAATTGCTTATTTATCTTTTCTACGATATCAAACTGACACGTCGGTGTTACACCCAATGATGACTACGGCTGTAACGAACCACGTTGTCACGAAACAATATTAATCTCGACAGAAGTCACGATATCATGCATAAAAATTCAAAGCTTTACATGTACGGTGAGTGAATTTAGTCTGACGTCGCTTTTAGCAATATTCCAGCAACATCACCAGAATCGGCATCACACATTGTACCCATGTGGGGAGTCGAACACGGGTCTTTGCTGTGACGAGTGAACGCTTTAACCACTAAGCTACCCAACCGCTCCTCTTTACATACAAGGGAAACAGTTTGATCTTTAAATACAACGAATAGTAGCAAAACTTATAGAGACGTCAAAGCCAGAGAATAACCAGTCTCGATTGTTCGCCTAAACAGATGCCCTTGAACGTAACATTGCGGTAAAATGTATTTGTTCACTGATTCCGCGAAGCAATACTCCTGCTATACGACGGGGCCTGTAAATAAACGTGACAGTCATGTTACGAACCATACGACCTGTCGTGCTCTATAGTATGTCAAATTTCAAATTACGAATGTCGTAGAGCTACGAACGTTTTGTGGA